TATAATTTAATTTAAGTTTAATAATGAAATAATTTATTTTTGATTTAATAATATAACATTTTATAACGATAATAATTAAATATTCTGTTAAAACTCAATGATTGTTCTAATTATATTTTAAATTTTTTATATTTAAAATGAGATGTTTATCTAATATTTGATTATGTTTATCTGCAATTAGTTACATAAATTCAAATATGAAGCTTTAATAAGTTGTACTTATGCACAATTTATTTGTAATCTTAAATTTTAAGTAATATGCATCAATAAACAATATTTCGTACATAAAAAATGATTTTTAAGAATTTTTATCAAATATTTTATAATATAGTATATATATATATATATATATATATATATTAAATGTATATTTTTTACAAAAACAAAAACTAGTGCTTAGCTGGATGCCACTCCACTCCACTCCCTCCTCTACGTCATAACTCCCACAACACAAAGAGACCTAAAACTATGGATTCCATCACAGAAATCTGCATTTATTGGTAAGCGATATCGGAACATTGATCTTCTTAGGATCATAAGCAACATCACACTCGATCTTGTTGTAGAATTTCGGTTTAACCAGTTTACCCAGAACGTACGCTCTTGATCGAACCACGAAGTTCAACTTCAATGGCACCGCCGCCGTTGGAGCTCCTTTTGAGCTCTTCAGCCACTGTCCGCTTCCGTATAACGGAATCTTATTTCCGACCACCGATACCGTCAACAATCGCTGGCTCTTTCTCGATTGATAAAACTTGTTTATCTACAAAATCAAAATCAAAATCAAAATCAAAATCAAAATAAAAATCAAAATCAAAATCAAAATCAAAATATTTGGATTCGAATTCATTTATGACGGTTGTAATTCTGAATTATTTCTCGATAACAATTAAGAAGCTTACGGTGCCGGAGCCAAGTGCAATCTGAGAAAAGGAAAGATCAAGCGGTGTTGATGTGACGTGGAGGCCGAAGAATGTGGCGGTGTTACGGAAAGTGAATTTGACGGTGGAGTTCAACGACACCATATCAGTGGCGACTCCGGTGAAATCCGACCCTGCTTGAATCGCAAATCTCTCGAATGTAATACTCTGGAGCACCAAAATTCAACATAAATGTTGTTAAATCGATTCAGAAACCTAGAATTTATGCACAATTTGATCAAAATTGATCACAACTAACCTTCATGGTGAGCTTAGGTTTTTGTGGTTTACTAGCACCATATAGAATCAAAGCAAAAAGAGAGAACAGAATGATGAAGCAAATTACAAACGCCAAAACATAGCACCGGCGAGGGAGGCCTTTATCGGATTCTTCATCATCGAGAAGACCTTCTTCTTCGATGACATTAAATTGTTTATCCCACGACTTTGCGAACCTCTTCATAGCCATATCGTTTGGGGAAACCTTGCGAGTTCCATGGGGTTTGAGGGAGCCAGAAAATCGAGTGGAGGAGGATTCACGGGAGTGGCGGCCGACGGAGGAGTGGGAGTGAGGAGGAGAGCCGGTGGGGCTGAGCAAAGCAGGGGATGAGTTTAAAGACATGGTGTTGACGTTCTTCTCACCATCGTGTGAATCACGAGACGGACTCTGAACGTAATAGACCGGCCGGCGAGGAGGAGAACGCGTCGGCGACGACGCCGTTAGGCTTGTGGCATCGGAATCGGTCTTAGCGTGGTGCATATTTCCGGTGAGTTTTTGAAATTGTTATGGCCAAGTTTATATCTGAAGGTGGTTCTGAGTTGTGACAGCCCCACTACAGTTGGCAAAATACCAAGACTCCCACGCCGTGTTTTATTTATCACATCATAGGAGTAAACTTCATTTTTGGTCCCTCTACTTTCATCACAAATCTGAAAGTCGTCCTTATATTTTAATAGCTATAACTATTGAAGCACATGGACGATTTCCAGATGTGTGGGTAAATCATAAGGACCAAAATCAGATTTTACTCTACTTTAAAATTTCAAAAATATTTAATTTAGCAAACATATTTTCAAACTAAAAATATCTTTTGAAAATATAATGTCTTAAATATATTTCTTTTAAATATGATTTGTCAATAGATTAGTTTTGTAGCTTTATTATCTTCCATCAAAACATCAAAAACCTGAATTAATATCTAAACAAAATTAAATCAAACAAACCTAAAAACCATTCAAATTATCATCCTCATCTTCCAAATGCCACCAGCAACACCTTCTTCTCCATCAATGAACTTAAATCAAGATCAAGSAGAAAAACGAAACCTAAAATCGAAACCAAACCATATGTAAAGCTTGATTTCTCAACGCAGCCCCTGTTCCTCGTGGATGTCACAAACCCAAAGCAGAAGGAGGTTTCCGTCACGAACCAAAAGCATAACTCGATTTCCCAATGGAACTCGATTTCTTCTTTTATATGTGCAATGTCAGATAGAACTCATAATTTGATACGAGAGGTTAGATTTTGATTTAAGGCTTTTATTTTGGGTTTATTCTTAATGATAAGCTGAAGAAGAAGAATATTTCAACATCAGAAGACTTCATCTTCATAGTAGAAATCTTTTCATCCTCTATTGTTCCCCGGTTCTTTTCTCCTCTTTGCGTTACAAACGAGATGCAATTTCATGACTATTGATTATTTAGAGTTTGTTTTTTATTTAGAATTAAGTTCGTTCTTGATGTTTTTGAAGCTTTTATCGAGAAGATGAATGTTAATGAACAATAAAATATAATTAATAACAATTAAAATGCAGGAAAATGGTAAACAAACGTTTACGGACTTATTGGTCGGTTGTTTAGTCCAGGGACTGAAATTGTAAAAGATGCATACCCTAAGGTATTCTACGTAATAAGTTAAATGTAACAACGAAATTCGTAAAAACCTACACGAATCATATCCATGATTTATTCTAACAAAAAAAGTTGGGAAAAGGAAGTGTTGGAAGATTCAAATAAAAAATTATCAAAACGTGTTGACTTGTAATTTAATATTTTGACTTTTGATATACGACTTTCCATGTATTTATTATATATATTTTTCATCGATTTTTTTCCGCCATAAAAATAAAGATAAATATGACAAGAGAGTTCGATAGATTGATCTGCAGGATATAAAATCAAACGAAATCGAGCCAGAAAAAAAGACCAAAGTCCCGGAACAAACCATGAAACGAGGGATTGGACCAAAACAGGAAAACCAACATCAAAATATTATCATCGAATCACAATGAACTACAACCCAAGGAGTAAAGCCCTACAACTAAAAAAGTGTTTTTATTTATCTGAAAGTTAAAATTAAATAGTGGTTTATTTATGTTTAATTTTCATACTAAAATACATTGGTTTTATATCTATTGCTTTGAGTTTCAGTTCGAGTTTTAATGACTAAGTGTTTGTTTATTTCTATAGATTTCTTTTTGTTTTGTGTACCATTGATTGAAACTTTTTGGATGTTGATTTTAATTCTTTGATTTTAGGCTTATGAAGGCTCAATTAAGATAATAAAGAAAAGAATAAAAAAACTCCTAAAAAGGTGATTTATGAAAAGAACACAACTGCCCTGCCTTGCCTTGCTTAATTGAGAAGTTTTAACTTTTGCAAAACAAAAACAAAAATTTGTAAAATTATAGTTAGGACATGCTATAAGCTATTTTGATAACGCTTGGGTTTATGGGGATTCTCTTCATAGGTTGTCAGTTAGAGTTATATAATATTCCTGACTGTTCTCCAGATTCTTTGGATTAGTCAAGGTACACGCAAGCTGGCCGGACACCTACTGTTAACAAAAAAAGCTGCTTATGGTACTAAGTTTATCCAAAAAGCTACATTTGACATGACATAAACTAGTGTTTTTTCTAAATTTATGCAAGTTAGTATTTCAATAAGTTTATGAGTTTGTGACAGCTAAGTTATCAACTAATTGTGCCAAGCACAGACTTATTTGGATGGATTTTATAGTCAATCAATCAATATGCCTAAATCTACAACTGAAATATACGATCATATATATATATATATACTAGAAGCGTACTCGCGCAATGCAGCGAGATACATCGTGATTTTAATATTTCATTTTATTATTTATCTCAGTCGATGTTATAATATGGTTTTATGTGATTTTGAGAAAAAGATGATGTTTTTATTTTTGAATAAAATATATGTTTGAAGATATCACAAAAATTTGACAAAAATATATCGATATTAGTGTATAATTTTTTAATTCAATTTTTTTATAATTTAATTTATGTACAATAACGAAATAATTTATATTTGGTTTAATAATATAATATTTTATAAATATTATAATTATTTAT